GGGGGGGGGGTAGCGGAGGTCAGAGTAGAGAACACATAACTGTGCCAAAACTCCAACTTGAAAAGCATCACGAGAAAGCCACCCTCCACTTCAGAAAGTAGCAACAGTAATACTGCACGATGAACCTTATCACGATTTACACGCTAGGCATAGTTTCAGGACCAGTCTCTGAAAGCGAGCATTGCAACAGGGGTGAGAAGGAAACATAGAGGTTTTGGGTCCCCACTGGACACTGAAGGCCGAAGCACCCAGCCTCATAAAGAGTGCAGCAGTTCTCGGACTCCACTTAGGAAAACTCAAAAAAATAAGGCCAACACAGAGCTTAGGCTGTTCCCGGATAACCTGACAGCTACACAGGAGTCAACTCCTCTGAAATCCCTATTTAGGTGCCCGAGCTTGCCCTTATCTCATGGTGCAGATGGGAAGCACATTCACTCCACAGCTGCCACGTCCAGTCATTCCATCAATTAACAAGCTTTAACAAGACCAAATACCATGAAGGCTGGTTTTAATCAGGTGAACAATTCTACTCCTCAGAGGATAAACTCAGATCAAAGGGCAAAGCTGCTTTTCTCATGAGGTAAACAATTTATTTCCAAAGAGCGGAAAAATATGCACATACCATTTGCTAAGATCTGTAACTCATTGCAACTACTCAAATAAACATCAAGTTGTCCCCAGCTGAATCTCATCGTGATTCAAATTCCAGACACCTGAGCAGTTAAAATGTCCGTATTTTGGCCTAGCTTTAAAATATATATTACACCTTTTTGCTCTAAGGATTAGATCTTCTTAATGCAACTAGAAATCTCAACTTGAATTCTTTTTATATCAAATAGGCTTTTTTTTCCCCATGCCTTCAAATAAAACTAAAAAATACTTCTGTTACCTATTCAGCATTACTTCCTAAACAAAATAAAAAGCTACATTTGAAAAGCACTCCCTGAAGGTTCAGACCACTGCTTTTGAGCAGGATTTTGATTAACACTTTAATAAACACAACTGAAGGCAGAAACTTTAATGATAGTGTCAATTTAATAAACAAGACTAAAAATAAGCAGTATTGCAGCAGGCTAGTAGGCGGTTCATTATCTGAATGTAACTCCATGACCTCAATATTGTAGAAGGATGATTATACAGTGAAGGATCTTTTTAGAGCAAAGGATCCCTATTTGCATTAGCTGTACTGCCCTTTGCTGTGACACGCTAACTAGAAGAGAGGATAGCCCATACTCTCTTCCGTTTAGCTAGAAATCTATGCAAAACCTAAAATAGTTTGCCATTGGCTCACTGCCTCGGATCAAAATTCAGCTGCAGGTTCAGTGAACTCGTCCTTCAGTTCTCCATTGTAATGGTTTTGTCCTGTATTTTCACCGTACCCGGAACCGAAATTCTTTTATCGATTAGCACTGCAGGTTAGACCCTTTCACACCTAATACAAGGAAGACTTTACCCCAGACATCCAACTCAGACCTGTGTAGCCTTCCTTCTCTCTCCCTCAACAGCTACCCTTCACCCTCTCCCACCCCCACCGCATTTCTTGCGATACGTGCACAATGTTAGAAGCAGGACGTAGCAAATACCAGTTCTTTTAAACAGTTGAGGGTTATTTAAGTTGGAAATTATTTTTGCAAACAAAGCTACTAGTGAAAGTCTTCTCAAAGAAGCCTGAAATATTTCCTCCCCATCTTTTTTTTTTTTTTAAATGGAAAATTAATGTAGGAAATAGCATGAAGAAACACAGGTTCTAAAGTCTAGTCTGACTTCAAAGAATGCTATACTTTGAGATGCAGGAAGTATCCTGAATTCATTCTGACATGCTGGCAACAAACCTAAATCATCAGTTCGTTCCGCTTGTGAAATTTTACCTTTTCAGTCATGTGATCATATCTATCCTTTTTGCCTTTGAAGTCTTCATTAACATCTAATGTTAAAATAGGTATTTCCTGTAGATATTCAAAATCCATTCTGTATTGGGAAAGGAACAAAGAAAATATTACTAGCCAAAAAAAGTATACATCATTCAAGTCTCTGTCAGCATTTTCATTAAGAATCCCATGAGAAGAACTGCATATATAAATTACAGCCATGAATTCTGAACATAAAGCAGCTTGAATTTACAGTGTGGCTCCTCGTATATATTACTGATTCTTGAACATTCTGTTCCCCCAGCGCCTAACGTTAAATTCAGCTGTGTGTTAAAATTAGCTCAGCTGAATCCTTGCTATTAAGAGAATTCCATGTGAAAAGAAGGCACATCGCATGTCCTAGCAATAATTAACATGATGTAAAGCCAATACTACTAAGGAAGTATAGATAGCAATATAACTGGAGTTTAACTTTACATATCATAGGAAAAGCTGAAGTTTCACTGGTGGAAAAAGCATTATGGAACATCCTTACAAAGATTTATCCATCTTGAAGTGGCCATTAAACAAACCCTACCGCAGTGTCCTATGCTGAAGCCAACTTTCGTGTTTGTAGTGAAGCTTCTCCAGATATTCAATGGGAATTTCTTGCTCTTCATCTCTTCCACGCAAGTAAATCCTATTTAAGCATTTCTAAAGGCAAAAGATGTTTAAAAAAAAAAAAAAAAAATTGGTTGTTTTTGCAGACCTACAGAGGAAGTCTAGTTTGCTAAAGTTTTTTTTGCCAACCCTTCCTACCATGCTCAATATGCCACTCTTTGGCAAAGATGAATATTCAACTCGCTAACTATCTTACAAGCATAGAAACATTATGCCAATGTTCAGCTGGTGGAGCCCACAGACTACACACAAAAATCCAAGAAGGACCCAAGGAAATGTATCGCATTATTTCTCCACTACAAGGAAATGTCTCAAATGAGCTCTTTATTAAAAGAAGGGGTACCAGTGTATTGCATGAAAAGAGCACCGAAATACCCATTTGACATTATAGACAGGCATTTCAAAATCTCATTATATACCTCCGGCTCTTAGGAACCCAGTTTTCAAATGTAGTCTATCATTTGCTCCTGTCCTGAACACATCCAGAGCCCCGATAACAAGCCAATCGAACCTGTTTAAAACTGTTGTACTTCGTAATTTAAATATATGTTCTTGACTTAGAGGGAAAAAAAAAAGCCCTCAATAGCAAGCCTAGTAAAAAAGCCTTCAGAGAAACTCTAGCATTTTACATTACGCAGTTGTTTAAACGATAACAAAGTTGAAAGCATGAAAGGTGGAAGTAAGGAAGTATGGAAGTGACCTGTAAGTTAATTACTGCCATTAGAGCTCTTCTAAACTCTTATGTTTTTCTCTTGTTCATGTAAGTTTCATACTCAAAGGATATATTCATGATGTTGTTTTCTCCTTTAAAAAAAAGTGTTAGATGCCCAAAAATCAAAGCACTGTCATAAAGCCTCACATTCAGTAGATGCATTCATCTGGCTTAGCTCCATTGCTCCAGGTGAAAGGGATTCACACACACACCCCCAAATCAGCTGTGCCATTAACTATAAATTGATGTATCTATCACAGCAATGTTCCTATAGGTACTTTGTACTTTGCCTTTTTTTTTTTTTTTAAAGTTCCAGTGGTATTTTCTGGTTTGCTCACTATATATTCCATTTTTATAATTAGAAAATCATTATCATCACATTTTATTTAGAAATACACAGGCTACATTTGAAAGAACATTCTTTTTTTAAGTATTTCCAGACTGCATTAGTCATAACTCAAGTATTATAGTCTTCAGGGGAATACTACAATCTGAACTGAACTCTAATCATTAGGACTCTTACAGTGAAAGATAAGGGTATCTCAACATTTTGAGAAGATTACATTTCAAGGAGAATTTCTCAACCATTTCCTTGCCAGAGGCGTTCAAAGCAATCCCTAAAACAAAGATACAATGATATGCAATGACACACAATTGTGACCTTACCGGAGTTGACCGCAAGCATATTATTCTTTTAGTATAAAAAAGGTCTAGAATCATAGTGAAACTCTACGCTTCCATAGTAACTTTTTTTTTAAAAAATGTAGACAAAGATCAACTTTTATAGTATAAAAAAGGTCTAGAATCATAGTGAAACTCTACATTTTTTAAAAAAAAAAGTTACTATGGAAGCGTAGACAAAGATCAACTTTTACAGGCAAGGCATAGATCATGTACTCTCATTCTCTGTGTGGTCATAAATTTTTATTCCTCACCTCAGGAGTGGCTCTGAGATAAATGATCCCATCCAGCGCTAGGCTTTGACCAAACTGCTTATTCATCCAGTCGTGCCAGTCCTGGTAAATAGTCCATTCAGTTTCATTCATGCAATCAGACTCATATAGATTAGCTGCAAAGATGTATCTGTGAACACAGAATAGTTATGTAAACAAAAAATTAGCTTGAACACAGTTATCACTTTGTTTGCCTGAAGTACTGCACAGTAACTAGAACAGAAGCTGAGCATAGTAATTCTGTAACTTCTTTGATCTATGCTTGGAGTGGAAATAGACAGCGGGTATCCTCATCCTGTAACTACGTCCATTGCAGCTGCCTGTAGCAGTGTCCACAAAAAGCAGTAACATTTGCAGCTCGGGTGTCTTTTCAGGAATAATCTACAAACCACCACAGGTTTATACACTGTGGTCATTTATTTACAATATATTAAAACACAGTGAACACCTAAGGATTATGTGATGGGATTTAGTTATCAAATCTAACCTTCCAAATCCAGAAACACAGAGTACGGCAATACGAAATAGCTAGACGTGTTTCAAGAAGCATAAAAGAAAACAAGACTGAGTGACCAAGAAAGAAATTGCTCTTGGCTCTTGTAGATGCCTACTTCCCTCTTTTCTTGCAAGGGAAACGTGCACGCACCAATCATAAAAACCTACCCACAAAGAATCAGGAACTACACATAGTTAATCAAGGTTATACAACAAAACTATAAACCCTCAAACCAGTGATTTTAATTCGCTGTCCACACCAATGAGAGAAAGATAACAAACCACTTAGAGGTTATTGTGATTCACCAGTATCAAAATTATGACAAAAGGAGGTGCAAAACTCAGTCATGCTCTGCTTTTTATTTATTTATGCGTTTTACTTAGGAGAATTTTCATCTTTGCTTTAAGGACTTCAGTCCAACATACCTGTCACTGTAGACAGATCGCTCGAAGAAAACCACAGGATTCTCCGCCTCTCTGAGTTTGCCATCAAGGGATCTGAGCTGAGCCCGGATCCTGCTGAGACATGCATATGTCTGGAAAGTGAAAGACCACCGCTCTGGTTTCTCATACATCATCCGAAGCACATTTTTGCCACTCTTCTGTGATGCAGTCAGCTCCTGGTTTTAAACAAATACAGTGACCCTTTAAGTTGAGAAGGTGGACGATTAAGGTAAAACAGAAATGCTCTACTACGTTAAAGCCGTTCAGCCTTTATTTCCGGTTTACAATTGCATCATTTATCTCTCAACCCTATTTGCAATACGAGGCGTAAATGCCAGTGATGTTATTCCTCCTACAGCACTGAGCTGAGTAAGCAACTCTCTGCAATCTACAACGTCAAAATGCTCAAGTACCAAAACACTTTGATCACTATTTACAAGCTTTGATAAAAGAACAACATCCTATCAGTACAAAAAGTCAACAACATTGTAGAAAAATCCATGCTCCTTTTATTCTGACAAGTGAGAGTTTAAAGTTTAAAGTTGAGCTCATTTTGTTTTTCCATCTATTAATTACAGTTCCTATGGTAACAGCTGCTGATGCAGCATCTTAAGATACGATTATGCTCTCATCTTACCTGGGAGGTTCAGAACAGACTCCAGGCCAAAGATCTCCCACAGCCCGTGAGGGCGATCAAACACCTCGAGACAGCCACTAAAGCTCACGGAAACAGAAAGCTGTGTGCCTCAGTTTTACTAGAAAACACAGCCTACCTAAGGTGACCGCTTCTGTCTGAATCTTTTTGCTATGTGAACACCAAATCCAAATACTAACATATTTTCAAAAATCTAGATATAGAGGTCAACGCCTAGGTGACAGCAACTAAGATTCTGGAATGCCAGGTTTCATCCTCATCTATAGTTCCCTGCAACCATACCTATACTAGTCAACCAAACACGCCCAGCACCACGCTCTGACACCATGGCCAAGCGGCACACAAGAGCGGTATCCACAGCACTAAAACTTTCTAAGCCTCCAAAAGGAGGTAGCTACGTGCAGTGCACTTTCGGCAGAGTCCCCAGGCTATCCTACTGCCCAAACCATGCCTACTGCTTGGAAGAGTCCTAGCTGGCATGGGACAGAAGTCCGCTAGGGACAGGGGACACAGCCTGGTTCCACTATCCAGGGTATGTCCCCCTACTCTGTAATCAAGTAGAGAAGATGCAGCTACAGGGAGCTTTCACAAGTCGGAAGACCTTTATTTATCAGTTTCACCAGTAAGAAATAAAAGATAGAGAACCATCCTCTGGAAAAGATTCCAATATCCCTGAAAAACACTGTATTAAAAAGCACAGTACTAAGCCATGTGAAGAATTTTAGGTGCAGCTTTCATAAGAACTAACACCTACAAAAGCAGTAAGACACACCTCTTTCTATGAACACACACACACGTAAAAATGAACTTCCCAAATCTTTTTTTTTTGCCCTCCGTCTCCGGTGCTGTGGGATGATGAAAGTACCAGCTTTATTAAAGATGGAAAAGTGAAAGTCTACTTTTTGGTATTAAACTACATAAAAAAAAGCAATAATCAAGATCTTGAATGCTGATAACTTTTCTCAGAAAAGGGAAGGAAAAGGGGCAAAAAATAGGCAAAGGCCTATTGTTCAGCCTGTGCAATATTCTTACTAGAAACAAAACTGGTGTGCAGTACTGTGCTGTTTTACAGCAGCTGCTGCTGCTACTGCGTGAATTAGCCAACAGCAAGGAGAACGTTACAAGCTATTGACAATGCACACAAGACTAAGAAATGCCTACAGACACATGCACAAACAGCTTAATGCACCAAGTACAGCCTTGTCTTTGGGAACCTTTTTTTAAGTGTTTCCTGACTAATTTTAAGAGTCATATACAATGCCATATTTCTGCAAACCAGCCAAAACAAAAGGAGAAAAGAGCAAATTAGTAAGTCCAACTTCAGGGACGATTATAACGGATTTGAAATTTTATGTGAAGGTTACTGGACCCGACTGGGACGGAGTTAACTTTCTTCGTTAAGAGCCCATACAGTGACATGTTTTGTGTCTGTGGTTAAAACAACGTTAACAACACACCAGTGTTTTGGCTATTGCTGAACAGTGCTTGCACAGCATGGAGGATTTCTCCCTTTCCCACTCTGCCCCTCAGCAAGTGGGCTGGGGGGGGCAAGAAGGTGGGAGGAGCACAGCCAGTACAGCTGACCCCAGCTGCCCAAAGGGATATTCCACACCGTAGAACGTCATGCTCAGCATGGTCAACTCCGGTACTGGAAGAAGAAGGAGGGGAGGGGTTTGTCTTCCAGGGTAGCTGTTGCTCAGAGACTGGCTGGCCATTGGTCTGCTTCTAGGAGGTAAGCGATTGCCTTTGCATCGCTCCTTTCTTATCCTCTTCCCTTTGCTTATTAAACTGTCTTTATAGCAACCCATAAATTGTCTTGCCTTCTTTCTTCCTATTCTCTCCTCCGCTCTGCTGGGGGCGTGAGCTGCTGTTTGTGTGGGTCCTTAGCTGCTGGCTGGGGTCAACCCACCACAGTAAATTGGAAAAAAAATAAAAGAAATCTTTAACTTCAAGTCTATTAAACTAGCTTGTTAGCTTAGCTCTTAAAAGAAAGAACTTTGGTCTGGTTTTGTATTTGGATTTACTTTAGTATCATGAAGACAGAAAAAACAAAAATGAGAGCTGTCTAACTCTGGAAAAAGTGTAGCTGAGGAAAAGTCAGAAACAACACGCCTCCATTAAAAGTTTACATTTAGTTAACCAAAATACATTGTACTTTTAGCCAGGTCTAAAAAAAGAAAAATCTTCTACACTTAATCAAAAGCTGTCTACACAGTGATGACTTTGGCCACTAGGTAGCAGCTCGACTGCCACCAGAATTACAAAGTAGCTGACAGAAAAAACAACGCTATAGACAATTTAGCAGTAGTTCATTATTTCCTAGACATTTTAGAGGACACCTTCCAGGACACCTGGGCAACCCTCTGCTCTCACCTGGTTAGTTCACTGTTGCTCAAAGTAACTTCTGCCTAACTTTTTTCCATCCCTTGCTTTTATACATAAAATAGAACAGGCTTTTACCGCTTTTGTAATTTACATCCTGATGTTGAGTAACATTTATTCTAACATACACCGAGCAGACTGGAAAACAGGAACTCAGATATTACAATAAGCATCAGCAAAAAAGTTGCTATCACATACCTTTTCTAAAATACCTAGTCTATCAGACTTATCAGTCTTCTGAAATTAGAAGAGTATTTGACTGGGTTTGTTGTTTGTTTTGGGGTTTTTTTTTTTTAAAGTTTCACCTTAGTTTCTTTTACCGTACCTTGCAATCCTCTTCAGAGTCTTGCTGAACGTTGCACCATCTAGCTACAGGCTCAGGAACAACTTCCCATTCCTCATCAGCTTGTTTGAGAATATTCACAAATGTCGATTTCCCTGCAGCTGTAGAAAAAGCATTCAGGAAGAATGGCAGTCAAAAAACACTGACAGTGTAATTATTTAATTACTATACAACTCTAGTTTCAAGTCCCATAAACGAGTCTCCCACACCCATGTCCTTTTGACTTCATGACAAGCATGAACCACAGGCCATCGTGTACCACAGATCATCAATTAATTGAGCAACAGAGTTTTTCTTTTTTATTTTGTACCACACAACACCAGCACCGAATTGAACAAAAATCAAAAATGACAAGTCTCAGCCCAGATCAATTATCTAAATTCTAGAAAGCTAAATTTGCAGTTAGAACACCGAGTGTTAAATTTTTAAAGATACTTAGTGATCCAGTCCCAGACACGAAGTCGCAGTCTTTCTGTTGTTTTAGCAAGGGGGCGGGGGGGGGGGGGGGGGAAAGCAAGCAATGATGAAAGAAACATAAAGCAAAAGCAATGGTTTCTCAAATGAAGATACAAAGATGCAATACTAGTTACTTCCTACAAGACAGAAGTCATTAGCCTGCCGCCAACTGAAAAAAAGCTCAGGAAATTTTAAAAAGAGATACTCAAACCCGACAGAGGCCAATCGGTTGGCTATCAGCCGCCAAAGAACGCATCAGTGAACAAACTGACACCCCAGCAACTCCTATCCTCAATTTTAAGCACAGCCTCTTGCCAAAAAACCTAAACACACCACAAAAAAAGGAGACTATCTCCTTATGAACGGCCCATAACTTTTCCTGCTCTTTACAACAGTTAAACAGGCTTCTCTTGTTCATTAGGAGGAGTACTGAACATGACAAGTTTGACCTGACAGTCTGCACGTATGCAGGTGTTTCACACTACCATCAGGAAAGGTGAGGCAGAAGTCTTATCCAGGACTTCAATGCATCTTTAAAAAAGTGAGTAAGTTAAAAACTGTCATAGAAAGGAAAGCGCTTTTCCCCCCCCCAATCTCGTCATTTTTATAGCATTAACTCTTACAGCGTCGGCCTAGTTTCCGAAGTTATCGAGTGGCTTGTTGGCACAGCACAGCTCGTCTCGCTAACTCCCGTCTCCCAGCCTGGCTAAAAGCCTTTTTCTCAGGGAAAAGGCGAGAAAACCCTTGTGGAAGCGTCCGCGCCGCCACACGCCGCTACGGCGGGAAGAGCCCTGTCAGAAGGGCGGGATGGTCCGGCCAGGAGCGGGGAGGCCGCAGCCACCGAGCCCGGCCGGAGGCCACCTCTCCAGCCCCCTTCAGCCTCCTCCGCCCCGGCCGCGGCGAGGTGCGGTGAGGTGAGGTGAGGCGAGGGGCCCGACTCACCGATGTTGCCCTCGACAGCGATCTTCTTGATCCTGCCCTCCAGCCGCCCGCGCTTGGGAGGAGTGGCCATG